CCGGGGGGGGGGGGGGGGGGCGGACCCGAGGAGAGCCCCCGCCCCTTCCACTGGCTGGACCTGAAGAGCCTGAAGGCCAAGTGCGCTGTCTGCTTCATGGTTCCCTCCCTGATCCGGGGGTGAGGAACCACGCCTGGAGCTGCGGCTGAGGGGGCTGGGATCTGCCCACGGCCGGGGAGGAAACGAGGACGGGGCCATGGGCTCCCGCGTCGCTGTCCCCGGCACTGACCCTGCCCAGGGCCCAGCAACCCCTGGAGGGATGTTGCTGGATTCAGGCTGCTCTTCCTCTGCCCTGGGACATCTGCCAGGAGCCAGCAGTGCCAGAGCCCACATGGGCTGACGTCCTTTAGACACCTCCCTCCAGGTAGGCAGCAGCCGGGCCTTGTTTGTTATCTCATGTCACGTGTGTGTGAGGCTGGTGGTGATAGAACTGTGTTAAGAGTTTGGTTTTTTCCAGTTTATCCACCTGTATTAATTTTGTTTTTTGAGATGTAATTCACGTACCACGTAGTCCACCCTTTTAAAGTGTACAATTCGGTGCACGTTAGATGTACAGAGTGGTGCAGCCTTCACCAATATCCAATTCCCGTACGTGTTTATCACCCCCAAAGGAACCCAGGACCCGTTAGCCTTGACTCCCTATTCCACCCTCTCTCCAGTTCCCCGTAATCATGGATCCGCTTTCTGTCTCTAGGGATTTGCCCATTCTGGACATTCCACGTGAATGGACGCATACAATACGTGGCCTTTTGTGTCTGGCTCCTTTGACTTGGCGTAATGTTTTCAAAGTCGCCCATTTTCCAGGTGAGGCAACTGAGGCTTGGGAAACTCACGGCGGCCTATCTGTCCCGTGAGGTGCAGAGTTGGGTTGGGACTGATTTTGGGCTAAATTCCATCGTCCATTTTCTTTCCGCTCCTAGGAGTGGCCAAGGGGGGTGGGAACTAGTTGACCCAGGGGGCGGGGATGGGGCCTCTGCCCCCCAGTGCCTCTCTGACCAGCCCCCCCACGGCCTGCCACACCCTGCAGTGGCCACAGCGTCCTCCTGGACAAGGGCCTCAGAACCGGCACATGTGCTGGCAGAATTGATTTCCTGGAGCATGTATCACCCCAGAGCTGGCAGCGGGTTTGGATGGTCAGAGACTTATCATCTACACCCTGTGTGCTTGGCACTGTGCTGCTGCCCAGGAAGGCTGGGCTGTGATAGGACCCTTCACGGAGGGTCCTAGGTAAGAACAAAGCATGGCGGGTAAGGGTCGTGCCAAAAAGAGAGGCAGCGTATGAAGTGGCTTTGGAGTTGGACCACTGGTTGTGAATACGCTCTGCCACTTGCTTAAGATTTGGAAAGTTCATGAACCTCCTCTAAGAATCAATTTCCCCACCGGCAAAACAGAGCAGCCTTATTGTGTATGAGGCAATGTGGGCTTACGGTGTGAGAACTAAAGGTGATCACGTACTTACAGCAGCTGGTGGGGGACCCAAGCAATGGTAGTTTTATTTCCAGAAAAGCTAGGCTGAGAGTATGAGGAGGTGAACACTGAGCTTCCTGGCAGCTAAGGGGAAAAGGGAAATAGGACCACAGGGCTTACGCCAAAGCCGGAAAGCATGTCAGGGAGGTGGTGGCCTGGCACTAATGCTAACCAGAGATGAGGGTGGGGCTCTTGCAGGGGTGACAGGTGTCACCCCTGGGTACGATCGTTTCCATCTCTCTGCAAGGTGGAGGGGCTTCTCATAGGACTGAGCCTCGGATCGGCCATGATCACGGAAGGATGTGATGCACAGAAATGCAGGCTGGGATGCCGCCCTCTGATGTCTGAGCTCGTGAGGCAGGTATGATCATCTCCTGGACTGACCTCCTCCGGCCCCGAGCGCTTCCCCCTGGTTCAGGATAGCAGCTGGAGGACAGAGGGGCTCAAGTGGCGTGCTCGAGATCAGGGTGGCGGCACAGGGCTCTGAGCATGGGCTCTGGGTTGGGAACATCGGAGCTGACTCCGCCTGCCATTTACCGGCTCTGTCACCTTGGCCAGGCTCCGTCCCTGCTCTAAACAGCCCTCGTCCTCAGGTTGCTGACCCAGGAAAACCTCCGTGAGTGCTATTCTTAGCCTCGGTGTCCTTCCTGGGACCTGGGTCAGCACCTCCTCCTTTCCTTCCTCCTCGGGCCCTTGGTTTCTATCCTGTTTGTTCCCTCTAAAATGAAACTCCCTCCCAGCATAGCCATGGGGCTGAGCTCAGATAGACCCCCAGAGCCTGGCCTGTCTCAGCATCCCGGTCAGTGGTGACACGTGTGCTTGAGTGCAGAGACCCTCCTGTCTCAAGCGACAGCTGTGAATGGGGCCCAGTAACGTTCTGCAGTCGAGGTGACTCGTTCTCCTGCTCTGAGCAGCATGGGCTCAGAGTGAACTGGGGAAGTGCCCTTCCAGTGGCTCTAGGTGCCCCCAGATGATGCACAGGGACAGCAGCAGCCCAGCACCTGAGGGGTTGCCTGTGTCGCACACAGGATGGCGGCCACACGCCTCCCGTGGAAGGCTTGGGTTTTGAACGGGAACGGCAAGGAACATAGATGCTGAACATCATCTGTTTGAGCAGGTGAGTTGTGATTTTTTTTAAAAAATGAGATTCACGTAACATAACCATTTTGAAGTGCAGACTGCAGGGGCATTGGGTACCTCTGCACTGTCACACAAGCACCTCCTCCATCGCTTCCCGAACGCCTTCCTCAGCAGTAAGCCCCCCAGCAACCCCTACCCTACTTTCCATAGATTTAACTCTTCCAGACGTGTCGTATGCATGGGATCGTGCAAATGTGGCCTTCTGTGACTGGCTTCTATCACTAGGGTTTGTAAGCGTCGCCCGTGTTGTGGCCGCGGGGGTCAGGACTTCGTTCCTTTTTATGGCTGAATCGTGGTCCACTGCATGGAGACCTGGGTTTGTCCATTCGTCCACGGATGGGCATTTGTGCTGTGTCTCCCTTCTGGCTCGTGTGAATAAGCTGCGGGCACAAGTGCTTGCTTTTGCTTAAATGCCTCAATTCTTTGGGGCCTAGTATATAGCCAGGGGGGGAATTTCTCAGTCACGTGGTTTAACTGTTGGGGGAACCTGACTGGGATCTGACCATATTAATCCAGAGCCGTTCCTCTGCACCTGTCTCTGCTGTGTGCGAGGTGGTTAGAGCACAGCATTGGGGGCAGACAGCTGCTCCGGGTTTGGATGAACCAGTGCCACTTGGCTGTGTGACCTCTGCTGAGCTGCTTGCCTTTTTCTGTGTCTCGGTTTCCCTACCTGCGGCTCCCAGGATGACACAGGAAGCGGCGACGGCGCCTGCCAAGTGCCTCACACTGGAGTGTAAAGTAAGTGGAGGCTCTTATCCCTTTTAGGGTTGATGTTCGTTCTCTTCAGAGCCTATCCCACCCACTCAGAATCTGAGGAGGTGCTAAGTGCCCGTGGGTGCAGCCAGCTCCGAGCCACGAGAGCTGGGGCAGAGGGTCACGGGCCCAGAGAGCGGGCTTCCTCAGTTGCGCCTCCAAGAGCCTCCACCCCCTGAGATTATTTTTTGTAAAACAGCTGAGCTGCCTGGAACGGTAGCAGCTCAGGGTGGGGTGAGGTGATGCTGCCAGCAGGACCTTCTGCAGTGGCCTTCTCGTGAGCCAGGCAGTTCCTAATCTTCAAAGGAGGGGTCTTCTCTCCACTCACATATGAGAAGACAGAAGCTGAGTGCAAGGATGCTGACATGTTGAGCTGGGATGTAGGTTCAGCTGGGATGCGAATCTGCATTTTATGCTTCCAACAAGCCCCCATGGTTTCACTGGGCACCGCCGCCCAGTTCCAGGCCCTTTCTCTCTCTCCTCCTTCCCCGGCTCCCCAGCAGCCCCTGGCAGCTGCCTCCCTACCTGCCCTCCTTTCCATCCCGCTTTGGGAAAGGGAGGCATGTCTCTCTTCTTGTCCCTTGGACTTTAGTGTATTGTCTCTCCTGCACCACGGCCAGGGAAATAGGAAGTTACCGAGGTTCCAGCCTCGGACTTAAGTCTAGGGTCTTCTGGCTTGTTGGAACAGCACCTTATGGGTGTGCAGTCAAGGATCGACTGTGTCCAGGGGGGTCTGGCTTTTGCCCTCGGCTCTTAGGAGGTGAGGAACCTCTAGGACCTTGGAAAGTCCTGACACGTGTATCTTTGTTTACCTGGGGCCACGTGGGATCAGCTTGACCGCCACAGGGGCTGGAGGCTTAGGTCAGCCAGAGCCGCCCCCCCAGTGCAAACTCTGAAGGTGAGCTTCCCTGATTGGCAGTTCCCTATGTGTAATGAATGTCACAGGGCAGCTCTGGGAGAACCAGGTGCTGTCTGCACGTGTCACTGGGAAGGGACAACCCTAAGCTTGGTCCCTCCGGGACCCTCCACCATGCTGAGTTCAGTCTGTATGCTTTCGCTGCCATAATCCGTTAACCACGAGTAGAATGGCTTGGCTGAGTTCTGAGAGTCGTCCTAGTGAATTACCGAGCCGAGGGTGGTCCTGGGGACCCCGGAACTTCGCAACAGGCATGAACTTGTTTGTCAAGATACATACCTCAGCGTCATCACTTCCACTTGCCAGATAAGACAGCTGAGGCGACTTGGCTCAGGTTTCATGGCTAATAAGGGGCCCCGAGCATCCTGACAGCTTCACTCGCCAGCTGTCATCAACTAGAAAACGGGAAACAAACACGCAGCCAACGCTAGTTTATTTGGTGCCTGTCCCGGGCGGCTGTTTGCCTAGCAGGGCACTGGCTACATGGGGTCTACTGCCGCCTGCAGGATCGGCCAGGCCTGGGGGGCACTACAGGGTTCCAGCTCCTCGCAGGAGGAGGAGTGGCAACCAGGAGGGGAGAGAAGGGGGAGGGGCGAGCCCGGCCGAGGACGTGGGGGCGGGGCCGCTCCCCCTCACTCACTGCCGCCCTCGGGCTGCAGCAGCTCGATGCTGCTGTGTCAACAAGCGGGGCGGCGGGCGGGGGTTCGCCTTCCCTTCAACCAGCGGGAAAAGACCTTCTTATTTGGACGTATACTGAAAAGACAGCTCGTCGAGCAGTTTCTAGGAAGGAGTGCAGAGGGAGCAGGCGCATCCGCAGGGCCCCGGGCCGGGCTCAGTCTCGGCCCAGGGCGCACCAGGCAGCTGGAGAGGGAGGGAGGGAGACGCGTCAGGGGGAGGCGGCTGCAGTGGCCCCTCCCCCTCCGGGCCAGAGAGCGAGGCCTGCAGGCTCTCGCTCCTCTGCCGGCGCCAACTCTGTGCCAGGCGGGCGGCAGGGGGCGCCGTGGGGAGGGGCGTGCATAAAGCCAGGGGCCGGGCCCTACGAAGGGCACCGAGGTGCTTGTCCTGGGGGCAGATCACGTGCCCATGGAGGGACTGGCAGTCAGGCTGGGAACGCGGCGGCAGTGTCCCGCAGCGAGGCCTGCCCCATGCTGGGCTCAGGGCCCCTGGCCGCCCTGCCTTGTCTAGGGACCCCCGCTGCTGGCCTACACTTCCTGGCAGCTAAGGGGACAGAAGCGAGCCTGGGGTGGTTTGGGCCTCAGCTCAGCCATTTCGGCCGGGCCCCTGGCGTCCCCGCTCCTGCTGTAGCTGGTCTAGGCCCTCCTCCCCGCTACCTGGCACGGAGATCCGGGAGAGGGCCTCGGGCTGGCTCAGCGTGTCCACCTTGACGTGCCGGAACGCCTTGCACACGGGGCTCTGCAGGTGCCTGCAACGCGGGGGGCCGCCCGTGAGCTCTCGGGGCCTGGGGTCCACACCAGTCAGCCAAGCTCGGGGCTCAGAGCCCTGGTGGGAAGGTGGGGCCGCGGCCCCGGGGGCACAGGCTGGCTCTTGCCTCCCCATGAGCAACCTTCACTGAGAGAACTTTCTGGATTTTTATCCTTGGGCAGCAGTTTTGAAACAGGAGCAACCCGGGCCTCGGCTCCCAGGGCTGGTCAGGAGCCCAGATTCAGGGCCCAGCAGAGCACGTTCAGGGGTCAAGCTCCAGCCTGAGAAACGCCACCTCCAGTTGGATTGAGGCCCAGCCGTCTGAGCGGCGGATGCCGCGGGAACCCCGACTCTTCACCCTCCCCGCCAAGGAGCCTCTGGGACAAGGAAGGGCCTGGAACGGGGGCCAGGGCAGGTAGGTCCCCGCCCCACGACCTAAACCCCCGGCCAAGGGCTGAAACTAGAGAACGTGCGTGGCCAGGCCTACATCTTCCACTCCTCCTCTGTCTCCCAGAACTCGTAGACCACGAAGGTGACGCCGTCCGCCAGCCTCACGGCAGCGATGCTGCAATAGAAGAGACACCAGGCTCAGTAGCTGCACGGGGCTGCCCGAAGACCCTGGAAACATGAGGCTGGCAGAAGCTGCAGCAGCTGGGGGGCGGTGACGGGCCCGCAAGGCAGCCTGTCACCACCCGAGGCTGCTCTCAGTAACACGCTCCCTTCGTGATCGGGCCCCCCGAAACCCTCCAGGACCAGCCGCCTACTCTGATCAGCTGCGTGCACCTCTCTACCCTCTAGAGCAAGGCCTGGCCCGGTACAGGGGCCAGCATGGCTGTTGAATGCAGTGAAACGTCTTTGCAAAAGGCTTTCTAGTCATTGAAAAACCTACCTTTAAAACTAAAAGCATCTTCCACTGCCACGCTGTCCTTCATAATCATTCTTTCATTTAATCCTTTAAAAGTAGCTGTCCTTCATAATCATTCTTTCATTTAATCCTTTAAAAGTAGGAGAGTCAGACGTGGCCCAAATCCCTCAGCTGCCGTCCCTGTGTGAGCACCAAGGTACTCACCCCATTTCAAATTAGACAGAGACCCAGGCTGGGGGGATGGAGCAAGGTGGGAGGGCACCGCAAAGAAGGTGGCCGACCCGACCCGCGGAGAGGGAGGGCCAGCCTCCTCCGAGCTCACGATACCACCCCATCTGGCCTCTCGGCCA